TTGTAAAGCTTTGTTTTCCAGCAAATTTGCTAGCGCCCCATCGGCTAAAGCAAGGCCTATGGCCAAGCCCAGGGCACCGTGGGGTGGACTACAGAGTTCAAGGCAAAGGACATGGATCCAGGGGGCCATTAATTGGCACCATAAATGCCATCGATCTACCATTTATCCATAGGAAGGGGATTAAGATTCAGGGGTTGAGACAATAACCTCACAACTGTGAGAATGGCTGTCATGAAAAAGACCAGAGATCAGTGCTGGCGAGGATGTGGAGAACAGGGAAGCCTTGGCGGGAATGTAAGTTGGTACAGCGCTTGTGGAACACCGTATAGAGGTTCCTCAAACAATTAAAAATAAAACTACCGTATGATCTGAGTATATATCCAAAGGATATGAAAAAAAATACTATGTCGAAAAGGTATCTACACTGCCACGTTCATAGCACTGTTATTTACAATAGTTATTTACAAGACATGGAAGCAACCTAAATGTTCAATGACAGATGAATAGATGAAGAAATTGTAGTGTGTGTGTGTGTGTGTGTGTGTGTGTGTGTGTGTGTCTGTCTGTCTCTGTGTATCTATCTATCTATCATCAATCAGTCTATTTACAATTGAATATTATTCAGCCATAAAAAAGGACATCCTGCCCTTCGTGACTTCGTGGATGGACCTCGAGGGCATCATGCTAAGCGAAATAAGTCAGACAAAGACAGATACCGTGCATCTCACTTATATGTAGAATCGAACACCAACAGCGACAACAACAAAGCAAACTCAGAGAAAAAAGAGATCAGATCTGTGGTTATCAGAGGCGGGGAGTGGGGGAAGAGGGAATTGGATGAAGGTGGTCCCAAGGTGCAAGCTTCCGGTTACCAGATATTAAGCAGTAGGACTGAAACGTGCGCCGCCGTGACCGCAGGCGTACCTCGTTTCGTGCGCTTTGCTTTGCTGTGCTTCTCCGATGTCGTGTTTTTCACAAGTTGAAAGCAAGACCCTCCACCAGCAAGAAGAATTACGACTTGCTTTATTGGAATGCTTGCTTTATTGCCGTGTTCTGGAGCTGAACCCACAGTGTCTCTGAGGTCCGCCTGTGCAGTACACTGCTATGTGGTTTATTTGAAAGTTGTTAAGAGAGTACATCTTAAGAGTTCTCATCACAAGAAAAAAAAAAAAACCTTTCTTTCTTTTTGTATCTGTATAAGAAATTGGATGTTAACTAAGCTCACTGTGGTAACCATTTCACAATACACGAAAGTCACATCATTATGCCGTACACCTCAAACTCACGCAGTGCTGTCGATAATATCTCAACGAAACCAAAGAAAAGTTTTAGGGGTTAGAAATTTTGCAGATTTTTTTTCTGGAATGGTAACATAGACTCTTAGATGTAGGTGTTACATCTTTACTGCAGCATTTACAGCACTGAATTATTGTCTCTTTGGATGCCTGCCTCTCCGATTAGTTTGAGAGTTCAGCGTAGGAAGAATGTCTTCTTATCTTGGAATCTCCAGTTTAACACAATGTACGACACAAGGTTGATGTCCAGTCGACGGTCGGGACGTGAAATGCTAGAGCTGGAATGGAACTTAGAGGTCATCTAGCCAGATCCCTCATTTTCAGATGGAGAAATTGAGACCTGGAGGGCTAAGTGGGAAGGTGACATCACAGCCATTGCACCCTGGGCTGCTCAGCCGGCTTGCCACAGTGCCCTCCTCAGAGCCCAAGGTCGCAAAGCTGGACGGAGCTCGACTGAGCTGTCATTTCCCTGGGGGCAGGGACCATACCCTCCTGGCTCACTGGTGTATCTATTAGGGCTACACACAGAGAGGAAATAACGTTCTCCCCAGCCCTGCTCTGGATCAGGGGCCATTTCACTGTACATAGCATTGACTATGCGGGAATTTTGTCTTCCCGCTCAGGGCACAGACCCTCACCAATCTGGCATCTGATAGGCCTGGGGTAAGGCTGCACACCTTTATATTCTGTAACGTGGGTGGGCCTTGTCTAAGCAGTCGAAGGCTTCAATAGAACAAAGGATGACCTCTCCCGGGCAAGAAGGAATTCTGCAGCAGGTGGTCTTTGGTCTGTAGCTGCAATACTGGTTCCTCCTGGGTCTCCGGCCTGTTGGCCGCCCTGCAGAACTTGGATTTATCAATCCGCTACGGTTACATGAGTCCATTTAAAAAATAAATCTCTCTACCTCTGTCTCGATCTCTGTCTCTGTATTTATATCTAGAGATAGATACACGCGCACATCCTGTTGGCTCTGTTTCTCTGGAGAACCCCACCTTAATCCTGGGGAGTCCAGATTCAGCAGGTTTGTGGAAGGGCCCAAGGATGGCTGTGTAGCTAAGTCTTCACGGCATCTCTGAGTGGGGTGAAATGATCTGCCCTCCCCAGGTGGTAACTACCTGGCTCGAGGCCGCCCAGTCAGGGGTCGAGTTCCAGAGCCTTGCGTGCTCGTTCGCTCGCGCGCGCGCTCTCTCTCTCTCTCTCTCTCTCTGTCCTTTGCTGCTTCCATTTGCTTTTATCTATAGGAGCTGGCAATTTTCCTTTTACAGAGATTCTTGCCCCTACACTAGGGGCCAGTCTCTGCAGGCCACTAACCAAGAATGAGGATCACTCGGATTCCCCTGCAGTCTGTGCAGACAGTGTGGACCGAGAAGAGGCCGGTCAGCGTACTGCATTCATCAGCAGAGCAGGTTCTCGCAGCCTGAACTTCTAAGCAATAAAGACTATGGACTCTCGGCGGTTCTACTATGAGAAGTCACCAAATCGTTGAGCGTTCTGACAGAAGTAATTTGGTTTTCTGTAACACCTTTCTTCTCTCATTAATGGAGAAAGGAACCTCAGGCATTGCAGGGCATGGGTGGCAGGAAGGTGTACTGGATGTGGGTTCAGCTGTGAGCACAGGACGCGAGGGAGATCGTTCTGATGGGGGAGCCCGCCAGGCCAAGCTGTGTAGGGGGGCCTGCCTCCCAGGGTCATCTGGGGACCCAGGCTCCTCCTGCCTTTGGAGCTCTGCCGTCACAAGGGCGTTCTCCTGTCCCCCCGATCTGCGAGGGCGTCATACCCGGACGTCCTTTCAAGTAGCAGGATGGAGGAGGGAAGAGGAAACGGGCCACCTCCATGAAAAACATGATCCAGAATTCGTACCCACCACTTTAGCTTAACTTATCGACCAGACATTAGGCACATGGCCACCACCTGCCTTTGGAGCTCTGCCGTCACAAGGGCGTTCTCCTGTCCCCCCGATCTGCGAGGGCGTCATACCCAGACGTCCTTTCAAGTAGCAGAATGGAGGAGGGAAGAGGAAATGGGCCACCTCCATGAAAAACATGATCCAGAATTCGTACCCACCACTTTAGCTTAACTTATCGTCCAGACCTTAGGCACATGGCCACCAGGTGTGTTTGTGTGTGTGTGCGTGCGTGCGTGCGTGTGCGCTCTGTGATGTGTCGGTTGTGAAGACGTGCTCCGTCCAGCTTAAAAGCGATCTTGTTTCTTCTCTAAATTCCTGCCGGAGGGTCTCTCAAAGCCACCATCACATGACAACCCTGTATTATAGTCGCTTGTACGTGCATCTTACACGTTTGTATTCCTGAAAGCAAGGATCGCGTCCGCCTCATTTCAGTATCCGTTACGTGGCCTAGCGTGGCGTGTGACGCTTCATGTTAATTAGCGAAATGGCTTCGTGCACGTGAGCCCGGCGACTGTGTAACGGCTTGGACTATTGTTTTCACAGCGCGTGAGGCGGAGTTCGCGCTGCTGGGCCTGGGCTCAAGGCAAGCGGGGGAGACCAAAGCAAGGCCAGGGACAGGTGTGACATGGTTTCATCTCACCAGAGCATCCCTCACTGCCCAGTGTGCGTGCGTGGCAGTGGTTGCAGAGCGCTGGTTCTTAACCTTGGCCTCGCACTGGACTCGCCTGGGGAGCTTAAAAAATGCTGTTCCTGGTGGGTCCCAGCCCCGGAGTTTCTGATTTCATTGTTCTGGTTTGCAGCCAGGACACTGGGGTTTGCGACGCCCCCCACCCCCATCCTCGGGGATTCCTGTGTGCAGCAAAGCTGCAAATCACCACGTCGGAGGGGGAGCCGGGCTTCAGCAGCGCCGGTGGGGAGGCCTTTTCACTTTATCAGTCTTCCAGGGTATGGTTTAGAGAGCCGTAATTTTCTAAATGGTAGCAGAGTGAAAGCAATGATTTGCCAGCAGGCGCCCAAGTGGACTGGAGGGGTGAGTCCCTAACTTCCTCCTTATGCGGAGCTGGTCAGCCCAGCGGGAAGACTCCTTGGAAGTAATCTGCGGGACAGCTTGCTTTTCTCGGTGGGAGCTTTACTTCCAGATGCTCCCGTTTTTTCAAAATGTGATGAGAAGTAAAATAAACCTGTTTTTCAGCCCTCCGAATGCTCACCCTTCCAGATACTCATTCTCGCCCTTTTCCAAATGGCTGAAAAAGCAAGAAACAATTCTGGGTTATGTTTCTAGGCCACGAAATGTGCCAATGTTACCAAATCCTAATAGCCTCTTGTTCCCTGTAGCGTTCCCCGGTCTCTGCCTCTCTCTGAAGTTAAAAGAGGGCACTGGTCTGCTCCAGGCAGGGCCAACGGAGAGAGCCTGCGACTCCAGAGAGAGAAGTCGCTGGCCTCGCAGCTCGGGCTGAATTGATTCCTGTGCTCCTGAGACATCTCCCCAGAGATGAGCTGTGTCGCTGCACTATCATGCCGGCTCCGTTTGCAACTCACATGGGATTTGTTATTCTTGAAGCAGTTTGGGGCATGGGTCCTCCTCCCGTGCAGAGTGTCGCTGGCTCTGAGTCCTAAGCTGTCTCTATGGCACAGACAATCACGGAGAGTTTTGTTTCATTAGGATAAGACCAGGCAATAGACAAGAAAATGCACTAAATACGTTAAATGTGCTGTGTAAATGCCAAGTGCCGTTATTATAAAGGGACAGAAAAGCCATACTGTTCCCTTTCTGTATCTGCCCAATGGGCAGAGCCACGATGGCGCTCCGGGGGGGCGGTGGTCACCGATTGCAGCACAGGGAGGTGGGCGGAGAACACGCAGCAACAGCAGCTCTGCTGTGGACGCCTCTTAGCAGTGGCGTCGCTGCTGTCACCGCTCAGCGCATCAGCACGAAGCGGTTGCCAGTGCCACTGGCGTCCCGGTGGGAACCAAATGAAGGAGGCCCTTACGCACGGTTCCTCTCCTAGGGGATCGCATCCGCACGATGCACTGGGGAAGCGACAAACAGTACATCCGCGAGGTTCTGTGTAACCCTGTTCGCCTTAGCGAGACTTTGACACACGCCACTGTGGTGCCGATTTAAACGCCTTCTGATAGCGGTGATGCCAGCGGCTAAGAGCAACTAAGAGCGGTGGACACTGGGGTGCTTCAAGTTATGGATAAAGTATTTCAAGCATAAATATTCTGGGCTTTAAAAGGACAGCAATGTGGGAGGGGAAAGGCAGAGGTATGATAATCTGTAAAACGTTCGTTTTCTTCGGTAGATTATAAAGCTGATGAGGGCAGGCTTGGTGTATCTTGTTCTCTGCTCAGCACCTTGTGAAGAAAACAGCACATACTCAGTAATGCTTTGCTGACCGAATGAATGAATGAATGAATGCGTGGGCCAAGCTCTATGATGGCTGCTGGGTGCTTCACCCACAGTGTTGCATGTATTCGTACAGCAGCTCTGTGCAGTGGAGATGAGGAGCTGAGACTTGAGGGTGTGTATCACCTGCCCAGGTCACTCAGGTGCTACGTGCTGGGTCTGGATCCAAATCTACTCTGACTCCCAGCCCCTACCCTTTCTAGTAGTCCTTATGTTTCCATGCACTAAGGATAAAAAACATGTTTCCCAACACTTCCCAGAATGGTTCTACACCTTTGGGACTTCCAGAGCAACTTGGACACCACCCTCTGACACCCCAGCGTTTATCCACTCACGTGACCCACTGTCGGCCGCATGCATATGTGTGCCATGCTTGTCTCTAGTCTGACTACCCTCCCTTCTCAACCAGTTCTCATCCTCCAAGTCAAAAGGCTAAGATTTTGACTAAAGGCACCATCTCGATGTAAGAGACTGTTGGGAAACTGATGCTTGAGAGAGCCTTCGGAAGACCCCGCACCCCCTAACGCGGCCCCCTTGGGATGCGTTAGCCTGCTACAGCCACATGACAAAGTGCCACAGACTGGGTGGCTTAGACATCAGAATTTGTGTCTTTGTAGTTCTGGAGGCTACAAGTCCCAGATCAAGGTGTCAGCAGGGTTGGTTTCCCCCTGAGGCCTCTCTCCTCGGCTCGAAGATGGCCACCTTCTCGCTGTGTCCTCACATGGTCGTCCCTCTGTGTGTGTCTGTGTCCTAATTTCCTCCTCTTATAAGGATATCGGTCATATTGGATTAAGACCCATTCTGAAGACCTCATTCAACCTTAACTCCTGCTTTAAAGACCCTGTCTCCAAACACAGTCACCTTCTGGGGCACTGGGGGTTAGGACCGCAGCGTATGAAAAATGGGGGAGGGGTTCCACTTACCCGGAACAGGATCCAAGCCCCAGAGAAGAGTTTGTAAGGACACGATATCCCCTGGGTTAGGAGGAATGGTTGGCCTCACCTAGAATTCTGCTCCTCGGCAAATAACACGTCCCCTGGGTGTAGATTTTACCGTAATGTTCTCATCGTCCGCAAATGTCATCCGGTGAGAGAGAGGGCAAGACTTTGATTCTCTTTGTTGGATTTTATTGCATGTTTATCAGAATGAAAAGCAAACTTATTCTGAGGAAAGCCCGTGAGGAATCACTTATTTACAGTAGCTAAGATGCCGAAACCACCTTAAAGTCCATCCGAGGATGAATGGATAGAGGAAGCGTGGCATGGGCGCAGTGGGGTATCACTCGGCCACAAAAAAGAGTGAAGTCTTGCCTTTTACGGCAACGTAGATGGACCTTGGGGGCATCATGCCAAGTGAAATATGTCAGACAAAGAAAGAGATGCCGTATGATGTCACTTACGTGTGGAATCGAAAACCAAAACAAAACAAAACACCAAGCTTGTAGACACAGAGGACAGGCGGGCAGTTCCCGGAGGCCGGGGCTGGGGGTGAAATGGCCGAAGGGCGTCGAAAGCTCCAAATTCCTAGTTATGAAATAAACAAGTCATGAGGTGTGACGTACAGCCTGGCGACTGCACTTAATAACACTGTGTTGCATATTTGAAAGTTGCTAAGAGAGTAGATACTAAAAGTTCTCAAGAAAAAAATGCTGTCACTAAGTAGAATTGTGTAACTAAAAATTCTGTAACTAAGTAGAACTAGACTCGTGTTGAACATTTTGCAGGAGGTACAAATGTTGAATCTTCATGCCGTGTAACTGAAACTCATATAATGTTGTATGTCAATCGCATCTCAAGAAAGAAAAAGAGTCACGCCCATTATTTTCCAGGGGAGATGGACCAGATGAAGGGGACTGGGCCCTGCCTCTTCACGCTGCCACGTCCTTTGCAGGAAGCCACATGCAAAGCCAGTTCCCCCAAGCGCAGACAGTTAACTCAGCACATGTTAGACAAGGCATGGGCCATTCATCACTCTAATTAGCTCTGGGCCTGTCTCCCCAGCCGGCCCAAGGTCAGGGCCAAATCCATACATGCGATGTGAGCTTTTGCAGAAGTGCCCATTGCTGAGGTGGGCTGAAGTTATGTAATTATTGTAACTATTTTCATTTATAGGACATTCCTTCCTGGGAGATCCCAGGTGTGTCCCTGCCCAGAAGTTGTCACTTAGCGGCAGGACAGCATGACCCATCCTGGGGCTGGAGGAAGTAATGGCCAGCACTGCCCACGCATAGTGCTGTGCGGGCTGCACACACGAGTCATCATGTGCACAGCTCCGGGGAGGCTGATGCGAGGTGTCCCTCGGCAATGCGGGGTGAAGGAAGGGGGCTTGGCTTCTTTTTCTTTGCTGGAGGAGGTGAGCTCACCTAGACTTAGCAGATTTGTCCTTAGTGGCTTAGGAAAAGATTTTTCCATAACAACAATGTTTATTAAGTTATTGTGTATGACATAGAACATGCCGGACTTCGTGCGAAGTGCTCGAATGCACTTCGAAGCTCAATACTCACCCTGCGGTGCGGACGTCATTACGATGTGGGCGACCCTGTGGTCCCTTTCACTGATGAGGATAATGAGGGCACAGACTTTCATGATATTCCATAGTACACACAATTATTCAGTCATCTCCACACCTGCGGAAATTCTGCCTGTTCTTAGTTCCGTGTATTCGTCCCCTGTCAGTAACCCTGCAATAAACACCTGTGTGTGTTTATGTTCCAGGAGTGGGGTCGTGGGGTCGAAGAGTACACGAGTTTGTACTTTTCTAAAAATTGCCAGATTACTTTCACAAAAGGGTCGAAGCGATTCATAATATCCACCCCCCCACGTGGAGTAAGAGGTATCCGTCTCCCACATCGTTGTCACCCTGGCTACGTGGGAGTGGGGAGCCCGCGGGCTGGCCTGCCGCTCAGCCCCTGGTGCAGCCCGGGGCGGAGGCAGAGCTGAGTGGCAAGAAGTCATGGTCGTGGACCAGAGTTTCTCAGTCTTGGCAGACAGCGGGGCCTTACTTCTTGCTCACTGCCCTCCCCTCCTTCCTCGGCCCTGCCTGGGGCCCTCCCCTTGCCGGTCAGCGGAGACTTTGCTGGAAACGGAAGGTTTTCCCTCACCTAGCAGCCTCTCGCCTCCCCCCAGTCCTGGTCCTACAAGAACACAGTGGCTGACTTCACCCTCTGCAGAACGTCCCCTGCTGGTTGTCAGAGCCTTCGGCAGCTCACGGGACCCCACTGCCTGGGACAGAGGGCCGACCACCCGCGCCGACGTGCTGCACTGGGCAGCCAGGCCTCTTCATGACCAGAGACACACGGAAGTTCCAGGGATGTCCTTGTTCTGAGCAGGTGATGTCACTCACACCACGGAGGACACGGAGCATCCACTCTTCTGCCTGGAGCGCGGCCCCTTCTTAACGGTGTGACGCACACGCTGACGCCAGACCAGCAGCTCATGCCCTGATGCCACCGAAGGTGCACCTGTGAAGGTGTGTGGGGCCCGTCACGCCACAATCCAGCCTCTTCCATAGCATGATGGGCACACTGCTGTCCCAAAACTCCATTCTTGTCCCAAGAACTGGTTAGAGCTACTTGAAAGAGGTGGCCAGGCAGGCAGAGACACTGATGACAATAAGAAATCCCTGGCTGGCCACCGTCATTGCCAGGCCCACATAACTATTAGCCGTGATGTCTAACATTTGCAAAGTGCTCCTTTAGGGCACCGTTTTTCAAACTTGGCTGCACACTGGAATCCCTTGGGGAGTTTTAAGAAATACTGTTGCCTGGGTCCCGTCTCCAGAGATTCTGACTTAATTGGTTTGGCATAAATCCTGGGCGTCAGCATTTTTAAAATGTCCCCCACGGTGATTCTAAAGTGCAGCCCAGTTTGAGACCCTTTGCTAAGCAGATTCCATTATTCAACTTTATGAATGTATTTAAGCTGCCCTTTGTGGCCCGGCTGCTGTGGCTCAGCTGGTGGCTGACTTCCACCTTGGCCTTGCCCCTCCCCTTCCTAGTGCAGGGCCATGTGGGGTACGCAGACACCCGAAGTCTCCTGGCACCTCCAACAGTTGGAAAAAGCCTTTGACCAGCCCGGGTGGGTGGGTGCTTAGATGCCAAAGTGTTTCCAGCTCTGACATAAAATAGGGCAGTGGTTCCCACTCCGGGCTGGAACCTTCTTGGCAGCGCTCGTGAAATGCTGAGGCCCTGGCCGCACCCTCTGAGCTTCCGAGGCCGCAGTGAGGTTTGGACAAGGGAACGTGGGAAAAAATGGAGGGCGTGCGGGGAAACTGGAATGGAAGGGAAGGCCGAAGCAGCCGTGTGACGAACGTAGCAGGTCCTTGAATGACGTCATTTTCTTCGACTGCATCTCGTTATAACGTCGACGAGTTGTTCTAGGAACATAACTCTTGTTTATATCAATTAGCCTATGGTAGGATTGGTTTTATTATATGTCGTTTCTCTTAAAGTCACAGAGCCTATCGACCATGGTCAGCGAGGACCTACTGTAGAGTCTTCATCAAGATTCATCACTTGCCACGTTCGCTTTACCTGTCCTTCCCTCCCCCATGTA